GTTTTTCCTTGCTGCTGTCGCCAAGTGCTTGCTCATGGTGGGAACTGTTGGGTCTCTGTAAATTTTATTTATTAATTTTATAAGGAGTAGGTTTAGACGTGCTCTATTTGAAAAGTGTCCTGAGATAACTTCTGTTATGAATTGGCACTATACAAATGATATTACTTGATATAACTAAGCAGTCAGTCCTGTAACAATGCTGTGTTATACTTGTCATTCAACCACTGCTGTCACAGTATGTTTATGTGATCATGCTAATGCTACCTAGTGCTTTTTCTCCAAGCAAAAAACATCAAATACATCCTGGTACACTTCTTTCACCAAAAGATTTTTCAGATGTTTATCTGACCAAAATTAAGTTAATATTATGTTATTGTGTTATATAAATTGCTGTTTGTTAATAATATAGGATGATTTTTTTAGCCTATAACATGCATATCTAGAACAAAAAGACTGACACCTTGAAAACCAAGATTATATACCAAGATTAAGTATTATATTTTTGGTGAATAACTGATGTAGAACACCACTGAGGAACTGAGGAAACAGAGGAAACCCTTTATCGTCAGCAGCACTCCCACTGCTCTTGGGGGAGCGCATTAATCCCTCCCCTCTCCTGTTTGTATTAATGCTGTCCTGACAGGGGCTAGCCTAATGTAGGTCAGTCATGACAAAGCACAGAGTGGCCACAACTACAAGGTCTGAACAGCACTTAGGCAGGAGGTCTAATGAGTGACAGCAATGATTTTAGCTATTGTAAGTGGAGCAGTGACTGAAAACATAAAAAACATTTAAGTTTAATTGATTTGGGCATATCAGGTCTAATAAAAACAAGCAAGCAGTTTTATTAGACCTCAGTCAAACTTTTTCTGTCAGAGAAGTCAAAAAAAAAGAAAAACAATTGAAAAGTAAACAGAATATGTTTACTTTATTAACAATAAACTGAAACCATAATCTCTCCTTAACCTAGGTGCTTTAGTAGCCATAGCACACACAGGACTCACCATCCATCCTGACTACCTCCCTGTAACTTCAGTGGGCTTCAGAAATGTGTAACTTCCTTCATTGGAAACACCGTGAACATAATAGCTTGCGTGCAGTCACGTGATTCTGATAATGCGTGAAATTGAGATGGACGACAGGAAGTGAAAAGCAGAATGGATGAGATGGAGGAAAGTCTGTCCTGTGCTAGTTTAAACAATGTTAAAATCACAACATTGGAAGAGATTCTAATATTATGAAAAGTACAACAGGGAACGGAAGTGGTTACATCTTTTATACTAGCAGCCAAAATTAGGCACTGACAACAAGTATATGGACAGAGCTCCATTCCAAACCTGTAAACCGTACTGGATCGATGAAATGTTGGCATTTTGGAGAGACAAGAGATTTTCACCTGACAACAGAAATGTGTTTGCAGAGCCAAATATGAGCACAGTCAGTTGCATTTGGTGAAGCTGAGCTGACTTAATCTGCACAAAACATCTGAGTTGAAATTTAAAATGAATTTTTCCCCAAGTCCCGAAAATACCATCAGAGTGTTATCTAAATGCCACAGCATGTTATTGTACACAGTTTAATGTTAAAAAGTAGCAGCATCAGATGACAGCCGAGCAGCGTGAGTGACACAAATGACATGGAGTGAAATGGCACTGCAGCTCTGTGGACAGACGGTGACCCGGCAGAATGCCAAGTGCTTGAGCTTTTAGCACAAAATGTTCACAGGCCGGAGAGCAATATGAGTCAATGCATGTGTTTAATTTCATTACATCACTCACGCTGAAAACAAGGAGAAATGTCTAATTTTATCTCCTCTTTTTTGCAAAAAGCAAATCAAGATGTAGGCTCTGTTATTTTCTTGATGTCAATTTAGTTGCATTTGGTGCTTAATAGTGTAATATTGTGACACCAAATACAATATTACATGCAGTTAATGTAGTAAGGAGATTTGCGGTCACGTGCAAGAACTGTTTGACATAAATCTTATCATATTTTTGCATGAAGCTTTTTTGCCTGATTTACTCCTGTAATTTTAAAGGTGCACTATGCGATCCTGCATGATGTCACTTCTGTTGTCGTTCAAATACCAAAAACAAACAGACAAGCCGCCCCCTCCCCCCATTCGTTTCCGCTAACTGTCACTGCAACGCGGCATACCCGGACATCAAAAGTGCGAGTTGGCTACGCTAACGTCGCCTAAAGATCGGCATGAGCTAACTCCAACTGTTCA